AATATGGGAAGTGGGGGGAAGACAAAAACCCATAATATGTGGAAAATGATGGGGAATCCTGTCACTTGTGTGTATTTATTTGTGTGTCCAGGGCCCCTTCATAAAAGTCAGGGGGTGATTTTGGTGGCAAGTATGTTCGGGCATATTTTGAGTATCTTCTGATTTTTCCCAACCATCCTGTGGTGTTGGGTTTTCGTTTTGAAGAGACGTCGCCCCGCGTTCTCCCCTCCTCCTTACCCCCTCCTCATTGCTGCCGCCCGCATGCGTCACGCACACCCAATTCGGCACACCCCTCACACGCTTCGTGGCCCCATAGGGAGCTCCACCGAAGGCCCAAGTGCTGCCGCCCGCATGCGTCACGCACACCCAATTCGGCACACCCCTCACACGCTTCGTGGCCCCATAGGGAGCTCCACCGAAGGCCCCAGTGTTGCCGCCCGCATGCGTCACGCACACCCAATTCTGCACACCCCGCACACGTTTCGTGGCCCCATAGGGGGCTCCGCCGAAGGCCCCAGTGCTGCCGCCCGCATGCGTCACGCACACCCAATTCGGCACACCCCTCACACGTTTCGTGGTCCCATAGGGAGCTCCGCAGAAAGCCCCAGTGTTGCCGCCCGCATGCGTCACGTACACCTAATTCGGCACACCCCTCACACGTTTCGTGGCCCCATAGGGAGCTCCGCCGAAGGCCCCAGCGCTTCGCCCGCATGCGTCCGCACACCCATCTCGGCACACCCCTCACACGTTTCGTGGCCCCATAGGGAGCTCCACCGAAGGCCCCAGTGCTGCCGCCCGCATGCGTCACGCACACCCAATTCGGCACACCCCTCACACGTTTCGTGGCCCCATAGGGGGCTCCGCCGAAGGCCCCAGTGCTGCCGCCCGCATGCGTCCTGCACACCCAATTCGGCACACCCCTCACACGTTTCGTGGCCCCATAGGGAGCTCCGCCGAAGGCCCCAGTGCTGCCGCCCGCATGCGTCACGCACACCCAAATCGGCACACCCCTCACACGTTTCGTGGCCCCATAGGGAGCTCCGCCGAAGGCCCCAGTGCTGCCGCCCGCATGCGTCTCGCACACCCAATTCGGCACCACCTCACACGCTTCGTGGCCCCATGGGCGCTCCGCCGAAGGCCCCAGTGCTGCCGCCGCAGCGTCAGCCACCCATTTCGGCACACCCCTCAACTTCGTGCCCCATAGGGAGCTCCGCCGAAGGCCCCAGTGCGCCGCCCGCAGCGTCACACACCCAATCGCACACCCCTCCAACACGCTTTGCGTGACCCATAGGGGCCTCCGCGAAGGCCCAGCTGCTGCCCGCCCGCATGCGTCACGCACACCCAATCGGCACACCCTCACACGCTTCGCTGGCCCCATTGCGCTTCGTGGCCCCATAGGGAGCTCCGCCGAAGGCCCCAGTGCTGCCGCCCGCATGCGTCACGCACACCCAATTCTGCACACCCCGCACACGTTTCGGGGGCCCATAGGGAGCTCCACCGAAGGCCTCAGCGCTGCCGCCCGCATGCGTCACGCACAGCCAAATTCGGCACACCGCTCACACGTTTCGTGGCCCCATAGGGAGCTCCACCGAAGGCCCCAGTGCTGCCGCCCGCATGCGTCACGCACACCCATTTCGGCACACCCCTCACACGTTTCAGCGGCCGCGCTCACATGCGTCCCCGCCACCCATCCCGGCACGCCCCTCAATACAACAGGTTTGGTGGCCCCATGGGGAGCTCCACCGAAGGCCCCAGTGGCACCGCCCGCATGCGTCACCACCCGCACCCAATTCGGCACACCCCGCACACGTTTCGTGGTCCCATAGGGAGCTGCACCGAAGGCCCCAGTGGCGGCGCTCACATGCGTCCCCGCCACGCATCCCAGTACACCCCTCACGCGCGTCGTGGCTCCATAGGGAGCTCCACCGACGGCCCCAGTAGCGGCGCTTACGTGCGTCTCCGCCACCCATCCCGGCACCCCCCCCGCAGCAGCATCATGTTTCGGGGACCCATAGGGAGCTCCACTGGAGGCCCCAGTGGCGGCCCTCACATGCGTTTCCGCCACCCATGTCGGCACGCCCCGCGCGTGTTTCATGTCCCCATACGGAGCTTCACCGAATGCCCCAGTGGCACCCATCTCGGCACACCCCTCACACGTTCCGTGGTCCTATGGGGAGTTCCTTTGAAGATGAAGCCCGCAGCTGCAGTACTGACAACTGCGTATGGTTGGGTTCTTCGCCAGGCTAATTTATTTTTCTTCGAAGATCCCCTTGTAGGGGGACGCGCCCGACTTAACGCTAGCGGGGGCCCCCTGGCGACCCCGATGTGATCACCGGGCCTCCGGCTTGCGGGGTTGTAAATATGAAGCGTATCGGATGTTCGCTGGGATCTCCTGGGGGGCGTCTCGGCGGCCTTTTAGAGGCAGTTTTGATGACTCTCGGGGCTGCTTTGAAGCTTCTTGGAGCCTCTCATTATTCTCTTCTCTTGCGGCCTCTTTGGGGCCTCGTGGGGCTTCTTGAGGGCCTCTTGGGGCGTCGTGGGCGCCCCTTTGTGTGTGTGGGGGGTCTTGGGGCGGAAGGCTCGGATTTTCAGTTCGTGGTCCCTCTCTTGGGCTCCTGTTGGGAACGTTTTGGGGCCCTCTTCGGCCGTCCTGGACGCCTCTTGGACCGTCTTGGTGTGGTTTTACGCCGCCTTGGGGCCCTCCTGGGCCAGTGGGGGCCTCTTGGGCTGTTTTGGTGTGGTCCTGGGGGCCTCTTGGATCGTCTTGGAGCGACGGAAAACCGAACCGGCGAGAACGCCCAAATCTTCCGGAAACCTACGGGGAATATGTATATATATATATATGATGATGATGGTGATGATGATGATGATGATGATGATGATGATGATGATGATGATGATGATGATGATGATGATGATGATGATGATGATGATGATGATGAGGAGGAGGAGGAGGAGGAGGAGGAGTATGAGGATGAGGATGAGGATGAGGATGAGGATGAGGATGATGAGGATGAGGATGAGGATGAGGATGAGGATGAGGATGAGGATGAGGATGAGGATGAGGATTAGGATGAGGATGAGGATGAGGATGAGGATGAGGATGAGGATGAGGATGAGGATGAGGATGAGGATGAGGATGAGGATGAGGATGAGGATGAGATGATGATGATGATGATGATGATGATGATGATGATGATGATGATGATGATGATGATGATGATGATGATGATGCTGATGCTGATGCTGATGCTGATGCTGATGCTGATGCTGATGCTGATGAGATGATGAT